TGCCAATTAACAAATGGTGTTTTTCTGAAAAAATACGCGAAAAATGCGGGTGTAAGCAGCAAGAAACGAACTTTCGGTGTTCATTTACGTGTATAGGTACCGGAATGGGGAAAAATATCAATTTAGTTGATGACAAGGATCTCCTTATTCATGTTTGGAAAACCGAGACTTATTGTCCCCAATAAATAGCTTTCCACATAGGGATAACACATGCTAATTAACACAGTATCTAACTGAATCGTGGAATTGGGGGTCCACATCAAATACAAAACTTAATATCCACGAAAAAAACTTTCCATATTTATAACAAAAATTGGTATTCGTGATATATATATCAGAACGTGTGTTTGCTATTAATACACAAATTCGGTAGGTCAATTAAAAATGTATAGATATAGAACATTGTTTGGATATTTTTAGCAAATATCTATAATAAAATACTAAAATTGCGTCTAGTACTAAATTTAACACACTATACACAAAAGGAAACTCGGCTCGTGGTATTTATACACACGGTCATAAAACAAAGTGTTTGCACACGAACATCGAATAAATTAAAGTTGTGTAATTATTATTCCAATATAGAATTGAAAAAAAATTATCAAGGTTTACTGTGGAACAAAAAAGTCTAACTAGAATATTATCTATATTCTACTTAATGTTTCGTTAACTCTTGGTCATATTAAGTAACGTTCAAATTTATAGCGCCATTATTTTCGCCGAAGTGCCACTATAGAGTGCATCTGTCACTGTAACTGTCACGGCAAAATCCCAAAATCCATGCAATTTTTCTCGACTTGCAATACTTTCGGCTAATTTTAGAAAATGGGTGTTTAAATCAACGACATTTACGTTAAAGGAGAAAAACAATTTTGTAAAAACTGTTCGTTTAAAACTACCAAATTCACTATGCGCTGTAAATAAAACTGTTCCACGATGAAATTGTTAATAAAACAGTTTCAAAATTATTTATTCAAAATTTTTGAGTGTGTTTATGACCTAGCTGCAACTGGCGCTTTAATAATATATGATTAATCCCAACCTCTGTTCTAAATTTTCCTAATTTTAAACAAAAGTTTAAAGTGCTGTTATTGTTGTAGCACCAACTTTAATCTGTTCGTTATAAATTTTGAATCCGGATTAAGTAGCGGAACCAAAATAAACAAAGTGAAAAGTGTGCATATTTCGTAAATTTAAATACAGTAGGACCTACCACTACTAACAAAAAAAATCGTTAGTAATTTTAGGTCATTCGAGCACTTCATATGTACCGTCGATCCAAAAAATAAAATTTTTAAAATCCACAGTGCTAAAACATCAACGTGCCGGTTTATTATTCATGACTTCGGTATTTTCATTTACCAATTAGATTAAGTTTGAGAAGATCAAAGTTCGTGATCTTAAATAAATTATCGTCAAATTGAAAACTGTCCTGCCTCTATATTTATACAGCCAATGTTGTGTAGACGCACGAGATACATTTACTATAAATACGGAGTAATCATAATGTCAATATTTCAACCGTTGATCACACTTGTTCTAGCTGTTATTTTCAAATATAGTCATTTCGCCTTAAGTACAGTATTCGCCGACAAATATTTATTATCATGAGATTTACACGTAACATATAGGCTGGTTTATGTGTGTAGTTTTGAATTTTGGCGGGAAAATGAAGATCAATACGCGGCAAATGTGGTGTAGAAACCTGTAATTTTGGTGTGGGTGGCAGCAGCGCCCCCTAGTGTACCCACTATTTTGAATTTCTAGTCTCGCGCAAGTGTATGGCGAAAGACAAAGAAGATCTAAGTTGTAATAAACTTTATTGATCACAATATTCAAGTATTGACATTTCATATTGGTTTTTGATAATAAACGGTTCATATGAAGTGCTCGACTAGACCTTACGGAAATAGTGTGTTATATAAGAAATATTGTAAACTATTTGCCTGAATATATGGTTAGATAATAATAATTACAAATTGACGGAATTTGTTATACTTCCACCTATATCACAGATTCTAGAGTTAATACTTAGGTATATAAATATGCTATAACCTCTACGTCTAACACCGATAGACAACAATGAATCACGACGATTAATAAATGTATAGTGATAAAATATCATTTACGTTTTTTAAATTGGTGTATAATGAAATTCACTTTAGTGTTTTTTTAGCATACATTGTTTTAAATTTTTGATCATTTATATATTTGGCGGTAACAAACAGCGTCCATATTCACCCATCCCGAATCCAAAAATTTTCAATTTTGATTTATACTCCTGAGTCACTACGTCCTTGCTTGGTGAATATGGTGCTGCTTGGTAGTCGCCAAATTCAATTTAAATTCCAGTTTAAATCACTATGTAATTGGTCGCTAAATAATTAGAGCGCTTGGCCAGGATCAAACTTGCATATAATTGTTTCGGTATTACTTTGATCGCTGTTAAGCTTCCGGGGATAAACTCAGGTAATGACGACGGATTAAAGTGTTAAAGTAGCATATAGTGTGTCAGTTGTTAAATGTGCGTGCGAAAAACATCCGCCGTCAGTACTATAACATTGTTCTAGCGCTAGTACTACATTAAACGCTGTCGGAAGATCATAACAATAGATACTTTACACAATCGAGATCAACCGAACATGTACCGAACATGAACATGCAACAACAACATCTAAAGCAACCTGTTTTACCCATACTTTAGGAAGTCCAGGCGCTAGATCCTGACGATGTTCATGCTTGACACATTTTCACAGGTTTAACACACATTCCTATATATGTGGATTACATGTTATGTGAATACTAACCATCATCGTCCATGATCAGGTGTCACTCATATACTTTAACATTTATCTAAGTTCGAACTATTACGGTAACTTCATAGAGTACACCTCCTTACGATACAACTTAATATAAAATAAATATTCAGTTGGTACTTTGGCCGCCATCTTTATTTGGCTTTTTAACTCTAACTTCAATCTCATTGATACAACCATGTTAGTTAAGGTTATATAAGATAGTGCTACAACTTTATAATTGATAGAGCCTGTTCACAACACATATAGGAGGTACATCCAGAACATTTCTGTCAGGCTTGACTTAAGTCATAGACCGTTATGGTTATATTTCGAAACGTTCGCGAACATACCTCAAACACGTAAAACATTTAGTAGACCATACATTTTAGTACCAGTTATTGAACTTGTATTCTGTTTGAAAAATACACATCTGAACGAGAATCAAGTAACAATGTATTTTTCAAAAATAGGCCCAAACTGAGGCTGGTTTTAACCGGATGAACATTTTATGCAAAAATACATATCTACCCGTCTGACTTAATAAACTAAACTAACAAAATATAATCAAAATCAGCTCAAAAAATTCATTACCCTAAACGTTAAATCACAATAAACAGATTTTGGCATTTTCACTATACAATAAATATTATAATAGTACACTAACCCAGTTTCTTATATCTATATAGTATCCATCTAATTACAACACGTATTAACGAAAATTAACACATAGTGACGGCGTTTGAGTTTAATGTGTTAAATTTCATGATGATCACATCTATAGCTACCAGTTTTTTTTGTTTTTTTTTGTTTTTTTTTTAATAACACATAACGGAAACACATCTTAAACAGAGACCTAAATCAATCAATCAAAGTTGTATTGATTGATCGTCAACCGACCGCGAGTTTCATAGCCATCTTTGATCACTTTTTTGTCATATATGTGAGTAATAGCCGTTGCTGTGTAAGAGGAATACTCACGTTTACCAAACTGTTAACACAAAATTGCTTCAAAGATGATTCTCTCTGTTACAAAGTTATCGTTATGTTAAATGCAAATGTCAGTTCGGTCAACACAACATTGTTATAACTTAAAATTAAAATTTTCATGTATTACACCCTTCGTCTGACAATTTTATAGCAATATAAAATTTCACGACGTGACTTAGTAGCAGTTTATTAACTTTACAATGTCCAGTTTTACTAAAACGTGAGTCCTCAAACGATGTACCTCAACAATATCATTATCATCCCCACCATGATAATAATAGATGGCTATTTTCACTAATGAGTACACATTAAAACGCTTACATTGAAACAAAGTGGCAAATTCTGCATTGATTATACTGATTAACTGTCAGAATTTGCAGTAATTAAAGAAAATTACGTGGTTAAAATATGGCTTCACATTTATAAGCAATATGACGTTAGATTAGACACATTTTGTAACATCGAAAACTTATATATGTCTATCTACTTTACACTTAACAGTGGATATAGTGGTAATAATCCTATACTTTTAATAACGTGCGAGAAAAAAAGAGTCGGTTGTGACTTCCAAACTGCGATTGGTAGTTCACTTCTGCCGCCATGTTGTCAAAGTGTTTTAAAATTCGAACTAATTGACAATTACACATACGTGTCTTTTGTTGTCAAAGTTACAAATTTAACCTTAAAACAGACTGACACAAATAAGACAGAATTACCAACGCACTTTGGAAGTCACAACCAACTCCCATTTCTTTTGTTTTAACCGCACAGTACATATATCGGATATACATTTGTTAATATTTTGTATAGATTTATAACATCTAATAATTTTAAGGTTACCATTCATTACATTTTCCGAATTTCAAAAACAAAAGTTTTACTATTCCAACGAAATGCTAGAAAATCGATAACTAATTTATATGTTCATTTAATTTAATCTGCTATCCATAAATTTAGAGCGCGACGAAAATACAATCAATCATTTTTATCGTTAACAATTTAGTCATTATTTCCTATGATTTTATAACGTAATTTATTCCTATTTTGTACTATAAATTGTTATTAGCATAAAGTTAACGTTTGTAAAAAAAATAATCTTTTCCATTAGTAGTTCCTGTAAGGTTGCATCGATTGTTAGAATACCAAGATTTTAATCACAAAATGGGATCATTGTTCTGTCCTTTACTAAACATTCTCGACTTTTTCGTACGTGCGCCAAAAATACTTTCGTTTTGTAAAACTATATAATAAAAATATACGAAATGATTTAAAGAAAACAATTCAGCTGACACTTGTTCACCCAAACGGTAACTATATGATACATTGTACATATATAGATAATACGTTACACCATATATTATATCAATTACATTTGGCACCATATGAAGCTGCTCTTTAAGACAACGATTCTAAATAACATTAAAACAGTAAATCATACAGGGTTCCCAGAATTTCTTCCAAGACAATATTTCGCTCACTGGTGAAGATATCCACAATTTCAGCTAGATGTAAGTAGCTATTTTTCCGTCAACAACATAAAAAGCGCTTTTAACACGTACATGACATGTTTTGTTAAAAAAAGATATGTAAATATGTAGATATACAATAGATATTCTAGTAAAGTACGTGTGACTTTTATTTATTTCACAGGTGAATGTTTAACTACGCTGTACTTATATGATATGTGACACTAGCAACTAAATAGTTTTAACTATTTAAGTATTTTTGTATATTGGCTTGATAAAATAACGTGTTTGAATTTTGCAACGAAAAATTTGTATTGAAAACAAACAGCAGACGGTTATCAATTGTCAAATCTTCATCAGTAAGCAAAATTACATCTTGAACAAATTCTGGTTATCCATATAGTTTTCCTTTATAAATTAACACCGACAAATTAACTGCCTTCTGCCAAAACATCTCTTGTGCGTTACACAGACAATCACGCCACTTACGTGACGTTAATACGAATCAAACTAAGACTTTTTTCGAAGTCATCTGCGGTATTACCTTTCAGACAGTCGAATACATTAATAAAACAAACAACACCGATGTTTCTTATATTTGCGCGTGAAATTCAATTTTTGAATTTCCGCGCCAAATCAAATTCGACACGTCATCGCTAATATTGACGAATTCCGAACAATTCCGAAGTGCAGCTGCGCGGGAATTACGAATGAAACTGATTTCTTTTCGTTTTTGGTTACTTTAAAGGGTAAATGTGATACACTACAGCATTTTTTTGTATATACTGAGACTAAAAATGTGATCTTCATGTATTTAACTTAAATTGTGATATCATTATTGGTCTAAATAAAGCCATTTCATTTAAAGTGGGTTTTGCAGAGTTTGATACTTTAATGAAATGTCAGTATTTTGTAGTGCGATATCCTTGCATTATCCTTATCGTCGGTACTAATTTTTGCTCAACAGAACCGAGTCGACGTTCCAAAGAAGCATTTTTGAAAGACTCGAAATGCAAATTTAGAGAACTAGCTATGATAAAATAAAAGAAGTACTTGCCGGAAGCTCGTACGCCGTAATTATCCATCCATTTTTCGGTGATTTTTGTTGTAGAAAAAAATGAACTTACGACGGCTAAAAATTTCTATCTACGTGACTATTGTACTATCGATTGAGCAAAAATTGGCACGGTTATTGTAGATTGATTTTTAGTAAGTGTTCGAAAGTTGGATTGACTGTTTTCATTCTAGGTTACTACATTTTATTGCAAATAATTGTACTTATGGGAATGTCGATATATAAAAATGGAAGAAGGCATTGCCTGCGGCAATATAATGAACCAATTTTTGATACGATGCTGTAATTTCTAAAATGAGTAGTGTTCCTTTTAATTCACATAGTCACAGATAATTAGGACGACGAACACAACAAAGTAACCCCATATTCTTATATAATGAATTTCTTCGACGTTTATTGGTCCACTGACTTGTAAGGTCCTCTGTTAGAGCAATTGATTTCTCTGCAAAAAGAAACATTAATCAATAAGGTAAACAAATAGCCATAAACGTAAACGCATTTCAAGATTGTTTGCTTTAATTGCAACCACACACACGGGCCAAGAAAAAAATCACCAAAATGTGTGTCGCTCGGTTGGCGATACTGCGATAAGTGTTTTTCGGCCCAAGGGCTATAAATTAACAAGTTGGCGTCAATACGAACACAAGGTTACTCGGACTATGCGAGTTAGTTCCTCCGCAGTTTCCGATAACGGAAAAGGAATGTGAGCGGCATCTGTAGTGTATTTCCGAAACTAGCGGCGCTCGGCAATTCAGGCGTTCGCAACTGATTTATATCGCCCTTATTACAGTATCTAATAATCAATTTGACTCAAGTATTTTACCCAAGTTATTTTCTTGTTTGGGCATGTACTCCTGCATTTCCTTCAATAGCTTCCCGATCTCCTGCGAATCTTTCGAGATGCTGCACAATTCCTCCTGATTGAAATCTGGTGTTATTTGTTTACACAAAAGAATTTGACTTATGACATTTCCCAAATTCGACGGCCCGGCGCGGTTATCTGAAACACAACGGTTGCGTATGAGGGTTTCCACACCAAAACGACAAGGAAAATTTTATTTTTTTTATTATTTAACATAACCGAGGCCAAAATTAGACGCAACGGTGTCATCTTTGCGAGACTCTTTAGAATAAATGGAACATTCAAGTGTATAATTGGTTGCCTACGGCGGCAATGCGTTATTAGTCGCTAGAAGTAGGAAAGTGGAAGACTGCAGCCCCTAGCACTGGTTGATCATGAAAACAAGATCTGCGGGACCAAAATTTTTGTTTGTCGTTTTGGCGTGGTCGACGGTTGGAACTAGGATTTTCTACCGCTTACCGTAGTATCCGGACATATCCATGGGAATGATTTGAACTAGTCGGTGGCACTTGGTGAGTTCACGGAGGAATAGTTGCGACATGAAGAAGAGGAGAACTAGATGCGGGTTGTCGGCAGGAATTCCCTCCGCCACAGCGCTGCAAAAGAAATTTATGCCCCGATATAATTACATATGCCGAGATGAGATAACACAAAATCAGACAATGCTAAATGATTTCCTCGGCACCCAAAAACACAAAGAGCTTGCTCTCGAAGTGTTTGCACAATAGTCAAAACAACGGCTTTACAAAACCTCATTAGCAAAGTGTGTCAACAATGGCTTGGTGGCAAGAATCGGGTTTTGCACCTCCGGCTTGTAACACAAAAACTCCTCGGATACACTTTCATCATTCCACCCAAATAACCTAAACCAACACGCATAATCTGCCGCAAATTGCACTTAAATTCGTGACAGATAAAACGCACACAATCTTCCGAAGTCCTGATTAAACCAGTGGAAAAGTTCCGGAGTTGGAAAGTTTTTCTTTCACATGTAGAAACTTTCAAACACTTATTGATTTACCGCTGAGAAGTGATTTGCAAAATGTTAATTACGATTTGCAGAGCTGTCGGTTGAAACGATGAAGTTGTGTAGTTAACACACTCTGTCAGCTGAAATTACGATCCGACAGGATAAGAATAATAAGGTCCTAATTTACTTTTCAGCGCGACTTTGAATCCACATAAAACTTACTGATTTCACTATTGAATTAATGCGCGCTCTGAAAGCATATTTCACTTGTTGGATCATGAAGACGGATCTTGATCTAATTTCGCTAACACTCAAGTACACAACTCGCATCTATTTATTCCTCGAAAATTTATAGACAAAATTACGATACACAGAAGGAAATCACAGACGTGGAAACCTTTAGTAACTTCACACACCCAAAATGCGCGCCGAGAATTTCGCCGACTCAGCCACGTCAAACTTCGCTGACTAAACCGCCTCAAACAATTTCATTATTATTTTAATTGCGACACTGTACCTTTTATACGACCACCCAGAACAGACAATTTTATTTCTGTTTTCCGTCTTGGATTTCTGCGTTTACCTATCTCGGAGAAGGAATATTCCTGATTCCTTCGACGATTTTGTTTACTCTGGATTCTGAGCAGTAAACGAACGTTGCATTCGCTCGAGAGGCTTGTGTTATTGAGTTTTATCAAAAAAATGTCATGAATTTTATACAAACCTTTTCCCCCATAATTGATGCGTGATTTATTTTGATGTGTTGCTACATTTTTGCTTTCTAAGGTAAATTGAAATGACTGGTCCTTTAACGGAACGCGATGAAAACATCGTTTTTACGTTGTTTATCTTGAATTCCAACTTCCACTCTACAAAACTAAACGATATCATCGCTAATAAATAAATTACGCTGACTTAGCAGTATCAACTTTTGCCGACGTCGTAATATAATTTATTACTGGGTCGGCGCTTTCAAATCTCCCCAACTGTACAATAATTATAATTATACAACGTCAATTTTTTTTTTTAATCAATCGGGATATAAGCAAACGATACAAAAAAGCTAAAACTGATGTATTTGTGGTGGCGAAATTGTTCTATAAGTAACTCCGTGGACTTCGCCTCATTAATTATTTTAGCATAAACTTGCTGGCGCCCTTTTGAATGTCAATCTACTCCGACATGACTGACGTGAAACTAGAGCACCAAATTAGTAATTTATGAGGTGATCTATGTGAGATGGAACTTCAGATTTCATTGTATGATAATAGATATCTATTCTACTTTATAACAGAGTGAAGTTTGTTGTGTTTTCGTCCAGTCGTGTTGTCTGGGTTTTAGTCGCGAAGTTTCGTTGGGAACAGTAGTTTAGTAATAATTTGTCACAAACTAGTGCTTTTAGTGGCAAGTTCATATTAAAAGCATCTCTGATGTTATGAGTTAATCCGTCTAGTATTTTAGAACGTGTTTTCGTCGAAACTATCGTCTTTAAATGAGAAATAAGTGCAAAAACGATAACGCGATATTAATTACGTTGGGTACCGTATAATCAAAATGTAGTTACTGTTACTGTCTATTACTTAATCGTTGAACTTGCTTACAGTATGGATGGAGGTTTAATATTAATGAACATCTTTATTTCGAAACAAACTTAGAAAGAGTAAACACCTCACAAAACAAACTTTTAGGCGAGGAGTAAATTACGAAAACCAACGGTTCCTGTGCGGAAGGCCTTGAACGAGAACAAAAATAAAAGGAATATACAGAGGTTAGAGGTAAGCAAAGCACTAAATACAGTGGAGGAATCGTGATAAATCGCAACAGCCTGCGTGAAATTAAAATACTCCCTGAGAACAAAAAGACAATAGTAAGAACAAAGAAAAGAACACGTGATTGTGAGTTCGAAGGAGTTTTAATTAATTCGGAAGCTGTTTTTTGCGAAACATAAATTTGATACCTTATTGGCTATCGTCGGTGGAGAGAGACAAATTATGGCTTTTCCATGAAATGGCGAGGAAGTAATGCCATACTTCGCTTCGACTATCTTTATCGACAAAAGTGTGGCTTACTGGCTCGTAAAATGGCAAGATTTGTAAAAATAATAAATTCGATGTATCGAACGGAAACCTGGCTGCAGCCGGATCCCATTCTTGATCTGTTGAAAGGGCCTTTCACAAAAGATGCGTCTAATTTAAGTAAGTCTAAGCCTTTATTCGATACTTTACATATAAGGGATAAAGCGGGATCGGTGCTGTCATAGCTCAGAGGTATCTACAATTCATTGCAAATATATCTTGGGTAGATTGGGAAACTTCCCGAAATTCTCGTGGCTTAGTTATTGTTGATTTTGTATCAAGCGCTGCTGAGACACTTATATTTACACGTTCATTTTAGTGCTTAAGTGTTTAATTTTGGAAGCAAGAAAACGTTCCATCGAGCGCCGCAGACAATGTTTAATTGAAAAAAGTCAATTACACTCAGAAAACGAGCTGTCGATATTAATTCTTGTTTCATTTCGGTTCATCGATTCCACAAAGCTAAACAGAAAGGCAATATTTAATTAACTTGCATGAATATGCTTTGTCCCGACAAACAATACAGTGCGATATCGTATACATGAATTTGGTCATTATTTAGTCGCAAATTTATTCACGATAGCCGAACTACCTGCATCTCGACATTTATTCGCTCCGGTTGTCATCATTTATTTACTAATTAATCCGCAAGAGTTAATTAGGCAATATGAATTCCGCCGCGACCAGCGCAAGGCAAACATGCCCCAACTACTAACCAAGAATTGAGAGCTCGTCTCCAAATTACTTGTCATAAAGGCAAACCAAAATTACAGAGTTATATTACCGTCGTAAAAAAATTCAAAGGATTTTGATTAAAAGAACCGATATATGTCGCTCCCCTATAATTACAAGACAACCAGTATTATGTCGTTATTACTGCATATTCATTCCGGTAATAACTTAATTGTTGTTCTTTGTGCTTATGTTTGATATTCCTAGCGTGAGTAATTATTGTATTTACGGCACGTGACGTTTCGGGAAAAAATGAGAATTATAATACGATTGAACTTCCCTGTTTTATGCTCTCCCAAATCAAACGTCATTTTTTTCGGTCCCGGAATCACTAATTCACTGCGGTCCTCATTACATCATCTCTGAACACAAACATGTCAAAAAACACCAAAATTCGACAAAACATACTTTCACGACAACAAAAATCATAAAAACTCGCCTCATTAACTTCCCCGAATCAGACTAAGATTTTTGACGTCAAAGTTCACAAAATAATCAAATTTTAATTTTTTCATAATTAAATTTCCTCTTAGTGTCAGCAGTGCTTACGCAACCTCTGTGGTAACGATCCTCACAAACCCATGATAGATAAAATCGGCTACTTTAACATTTACGTCAGTTTCAGAGTTGTATTCGCGAGATTAATTTTAAAATAATCACATCTGTTTAACTGTTCAACTTTTAGGTTGTAAAATTTTATTACTATCCAAAAATGTGTTTACAAGAATAATAGTAAAACTTCGAAATATTTGTGTGGTTATTAAATGAAAAATATAAGACTATCCAACTCTTTCGAAAATTCATAAAATTTAATTCAATCAAAAAAATAAATTGGTCCATAGTTTAGGAGATTATCTATACAACTTGGATTTTTTTTACGAAAATTTGGATCTCTAGGGGAAGAACTCAAAGCGGATTCGTACACCACAAGTAAATAAGTTTAATAAAAAAAAATTGAGATGACGTCATCAAATTCTTGGGGGGATGATTAACATTTTGGTTAGCGTTTTATCATCTACATGATATTCCTAATATAGATACAAAATTTGAGAGTAATATGCCCAGTAGTTTTGGATATTATCTATGTAATAAAAATCCGGGATGGAACCTGCTACGCTTGGAACGTAAAAAAATCTTAAGATGGACCAACAAATCCAACTCCTTCGAAAAATAATAAAATTTTGATAACCCCTATAAGTTAAAAAAAATATGGATAATTCCAATCACAATGTAAGAAAAAGCACTGAAAGTTTTCCCTAAAAAGTTATTATACAATTTTGATTTTTTCGGGAAAATTTGGATGCCTAGGGTAAAAACTCAACGCGGGGGCTGAACTGACGTCGTCAAGTTATTGGTGGAAATGATAAGAGAAATTTTGGTTGACATTAAATACATCAATTTGATAAAAATCGATCCGCTAAATATTATTCAGTCTTATGTTTGCAATTATAAAGCCCGCCCACCCGCCCTCTGTTTTCTTTGAAAGTATATCATTTGCCAAAATCAGTCTTATCTTAACAAGTAGTAACCCCACCCACCCGCCCTCTATTTTCTTAGAGGGTTTCTCATTGGCCAGAATTAGTCTTATCTTAGCAACTACTAGCCCCGCCCACCCACACTGTCTTTTCTTAGAGAATATTTCCCCTCCTAATTAGTCTTATCTTAGCTAGTACTAGCCCTGCTAACCTGCCCTCTATTTTCTTGAGAGCGGGTGGGCGGGGCTAGTACTTACTAAAATAAGACTTTTTGAAACGAAATACCCTCTAAGACTGACTTTGATTAATGACATATCCTCTAAGAAAATAAAGGGTGGGTGGGC